TATGTAACTGAGAAATGAATGAAGGGTGTCGTAATGGGGTGGACTGCGATGCACTGAAACACCTTGTTGCAAACTGGATGGTTTCCTGCATTATATCCGTCAAACTGCTGCAGGGATGCACAAAAGCACCAGGTACCAGACTGTCTAAGGTGCCTAGCCTCGCTGCGTGCTTTCACAAAGTGAGAGAATCAGAAGGAAAAGGACAACGGCGGGGCTGAGAGCAAAGGACGACGGGATCGTACTGCCCAAAAAATATTTGCAGACTGGATACTGAACACCGTTGTTGAGGTTACTATTTATCTCATGCCAGCCAAGTTGGCACGCACATCTGGCGCTGGGTACTTAGTGCAATTATTTATGATTTCCTCCAAGATTTAAAAGCTCTTCGCCCGGCCTTGTAATGCAGTAACTGATTGCACTGCTAATGTAATTAAGGGGAGATTATGATGTCCACGTGGCACACCAGATGGTGGCATTCACAGCGATGGGGGAAGGCACAACTGGCACACCACTGCACAAGGGCAGTGAGGCGCAGTCAGTCGGAGCAGTCCAGACTCCCCACCAGACGGAGGAAAGTGTATGTGTGTGCGCGCGCGTGTGTGCGCGTTTGTGTGTACGTATGTGTGCATGCATTAGTGGTCTGCATGCACAGATGCATGTGCGTGTATGGGTGCATTTAATGATAAGTTGAGCAATAAAGTGTAAGCTGATAGAGATAAGCAAATGTAATATACTACAGAAGCAATTACTTACAGTAGGACGGTCACATAAGATCCATGAACAAGTATAAATACACAAATGAAACTTAGAGGCCATATATAAAAACCACTGGTTGATTTTGGAAGTTGTGGACAACACCATCTCCAAAAAAGTTGGAAACTGTTTAAGATGTAAATTACAGAATCTAACGATGTGTGAATTATTTAAACTCTGAAGCACGTGTTATTGAAAAAAAAAAGTGTTTCCGTCTTGAAATATGTATACTGCATGCTCATTTAACCTGATCCCAGTAGCACGATTTGAAAAAGAAAAGCTATTCTACCTTTCTATGATCAGAGTTTGCCAAATGCTGCAGATTGGCCTGTTTGACTCTTTTGTAGATGTATTTGGTTGTAACACCCGCAGAATGTAGGTGTTACAAGAAGACCTTATCTAAATCATAAAATATGTATATATCGTTCAGCATTAATGATGCCTACACATTTGTGTGCACTAATGCACAGCTATGCTGTCATAAATGCTGGCTTTTAACGGTATAACAATCGTTTCCTGAAATAATTTCTAGTTTTATTCAGCCAGACAAGACAGCGCGCTACTGTATTTTGCTTAATTCCAACTTAAATGAGCTCCTGATGCAGATTTAACTTGCATTTATAGCTTAAGCGACAAACTCTGCTCACTCTGGTCTGTCGAGCTGGTGCATTGATTTCCACAACAGAACTGTATCAGGTGGAGCTGGAGGTGGCAGAGTTGAAGATGTTGGACGTAACCAGGTTAGAAATTATTACAGTGAGCGAGTTCAGTTTGAGCGGTTTGGAGACAAAGTTAGAGGGGCAAAGCTGGGATGGTTTGGACATTTAAGACAAGCAGTGCAACTCTTAGACAAAGGACATTAGAGATGGAGCTTCCAGGCAGGAGGAAAAGAGAAGGTCTATGGCTTTAGTGAGAGAAGACATGCAGAAGGTGTGTCTGACATGAGGAGCATACAAGGAGATAGGGTGAGATGAAGACAGCAGATCCCCAAAGAGGAAGATGAAGGAGACTGAATAAGAGCCTGAGGATCATTGCAATTTAACATTGGTTTTTAGCTTTGCCCCTGAAGTACAAGGATATCTCTGGATTCTCTGATTCTTATAATAATATTAGATTCTTAATATCATTAACATTACAATAATGTTAGCTGTAATCTTTTTCAATTTTCCTTGGACTAATGCTATTCCTAAATTGTTGGAATACTTGAAACGGTTGTTAAAAGAGTGGCGAACCCCTTCCTGTCTTTACTTGTGGAAGACTCAGCCTCTCTGTTTATACCCAGTCACGTTACAGACCTGCAGTTAATTAACCTAATTTGCAGTGAAATGTTCACCAGATGTTTGTTTTAGGATTAGATCACTTTTATGTGCTGTTAAAAAACAAAACATGTGGCAGATATTGATTTCAAACTCAAACAGTTTTGATATTAAACGTATTAAATATGCTTTCTTTGTATTTTTCGAGTTAAGATTTGAAAGGATTTCCAAATGAATGCGTTCTGTTTTTACTGAGATACAGCAAGCTTTGTCGGAAATAGCGCCGCGTTATCTAGAAGCATTTTAAGAAGTCTCCTCTTTTTATGGATGATTTGTTTTAAACTGCAAACATGAAGAATTAGTGAGTGAATCTGACAGTTCATACATTTTCAACTTGTGCAATTCAGTGCTTTGGCCAAGAAAACAGATGGCATAAATGGAAAATTAAATCACATTTGGAGAAGCCATCATGTTTCGGGAGTTTTTTTCCAGCCAGGGCAGCAATGAGACTCGACCAAACTGACCTTTAATTAGAGAGAAGCATGATATCATGGAGCCATGCGAGGCTGTATTCTATGGGGACGCTCAGGGTAGGCTTCCTAAAGCTTGTTATTATAAGCTATTCAGGAGACACGTTTTTTTTTTTTTTAAATGTGTAGAAAAGCAAGGAGGAGGGGGTTGAGGGTTATATATAAAATGAGACCTGCAGATTTCTACATAGCCCATAATGGGCTCATGCGGGTGACGGGGACGTTGGGGCGCAGTAGATTTCCCAAGTTGAGATAGGATATTATTACTCTCGGGGTGGCAACACAGAAATCTCCATCTCTGTTCCCTAGTCTAGTGTCAGCAAATTACTGAACACAGTGAATGACCTTTACACGTGGAAAAGAAAACCTTTGCTGGTTTTTTTTTTCCTTTAATCATTCAGGTGCAAAGTTATTCACCAAGGTATAATTTTAGTCCAGGGGCTCTTCTTTCATCCACTGATTACCACTCACGACTACAAGATTGTTACTAGAATGTGTGTGTGTGTGTGTGCATGATATTTTGCTCATGATAAGATGATCCAGTATTTATGGGGTCAACTTTAAAGCGAGATGTGTCATAAAGTATACATGAAACAAAGCGTGAACAGAGAAATCACAGTTTTAATGAACCTTTTCAAAATGCCAGCTGTAATGCTATGCGTCCTACACTGGCTGCTCCCCCACAGAAATCTGCCACAGCCATCATTCATCTTACCCCACAACCCTCAGCATGCAATGTGCCACACATTAAAACACTGTAAAAGCTGATGGTTTTCACAGTTAGCATGTGTTGCTGCTATCTCCAGACTCTCAATGAGTGTTTCATCACCTATTCCATAATTAGAGCATTACTTTAGCAGGTGCACCTCTTCGCAGCTGGAGCATGTGTTGTTGTTTTGGGGTTTTTTCCCCCTCCGTCTACTCTTTTCTCCCTACCAACACCTGAGATTTTATTTTATCAACTTCAGCACCACTGCAAATCTCTGCCCAAAATGAGCGCGTTTCAGTAGGTTGTCAACACCTTGATGTGATAGCATGTGCTGGTGCGTGTGAGGTTGGTGGTGGTGATGATACGGGGTGTTACAGGGGCTTACTAAGTAGGAAAATCTTCTTCCACTGTGTAAACGTCCTCACCGGAATTAATTGCAGCTCCAACTGACATACAGTTAGCCACAGTTATCAGTGCTGTGTTGTATGACGTGAAGAACACTGTTTGCAACATGCCAGGATCTTTACACTTGTTTTATTCTGTCAGCCACAGGCTATGCAAGACAAACTATTCTCCCCATTACAAACTCAAATGATGACTTAAAGGAGTAAAATCTGATAATCAGATATATTTGGAGGATCATGAAAGATGTTATGCGAATTATTCGAATTGTCATCGCACTGCATCGACAGTAAGATTTGAAACAAAATGTAAAAGGCAAACATTTTATTTTCTCTAGGTCTTTTATGTTCATTAAATGTTAATATACTGGATAGTGAGACAATCAACGTCAGAAAAGATTTTTTTTAAAAAGGGTTATAAAGGCAAATATTTTTGTCTGCATCCTTGGTAAAATCAACCACATGAATGGAAGTGTTAAAATGTTTTTTTGTTACATGGGGTGTCACTTTCCTCTGAAAGTCACCCCCTCTTCATAAATTTCAGAAGGAAAACCGATCGCCAATAAATACATCTCACTGCGTGTGACATTCGGCCAGCATATGGCACCATGTCATAGAGCAGAGCAACAAGTCTTTGATTTGAATACAGTACATTAGGATAATAGTCGCAGAATGAAATAATTTATTTGATTGGTATGGTGGGGGCAGAAATAATAAACTCGATGATGGGAAAGCATCTGCCGCCTGCTGGTGTTTTGGACAGTCTACAAAGAGGCTTTCAAGTTTTGCACTCAGAGAGACATGAACATCCTAATGTTACAGCTAAGTCAATACACTGGGCTTGGTCTTACTTTCATCTGATTACAGAAACGACATGTGACTATTAGAGAGACAACCAACTGCCAGGAGGCGTGACCTGTAGATATAGCCATGTAATGATAGCCATTTAGTGAAGCACAACCTAATTTAGTTACAACAGCTAAATTGGATCACGTAGGTTATTGCTAAAAAATACACCCTGGCATTGCAGGCCTTGAAATTCTTTGCATGCTTTGTTCTTAATTTAAGGGTTTTTTTTGTTTTGTTTGTTTTAAGCAACTGATATCTAAGCCATTTGCTGAATAAAATGTCCCATTTTGTTTTTTTATCGTTTAATTTATTTATTTATTTATTAATAAAACAATAAATCACAGGAAAAAAAATATTCTTGGAAGACCAAATATTGGACTGTAGTTAATAATTTCTTCCCTTGAACACCAGGAAGTATTTCCTTGCTACATGTTGGCATGTAAAGGCCAAAGTTCACAAAGTGGTAGTAATAACGGGGGGAGACGTTTTAGCAGGTAAAAACACAAAGGACTCTGGGTTTAGCTTCTGTGTCAGCTCACCGTTGAGTTTGTGGTGGGTTTCAAGTCTCCAGGTAATTTGTAAGACTGCTATATGACGGGCGTTAGCGTTTTATAACACAAGATGCATGTTGGACGTTAACTAGAGCTGTGTTTGCGTCACACCCCTCTCGGTAAAGCAGTTGTAACTGGGCACTTGTAAATAAGCACTTTCCAGATGGATACAGGATAAAGCTAAAACTATTTAAACCCTAAAACCAGTAAGTATGCTAGCTAAACAGAAAGTTGTTTTTTTTAGCCAAAGAACTGCTCTTAGCTTGTAAATATGGCTGTCAGATACAGCATAAACCGCATTAGCGTCTTAATTTTATGAGCATAGTTTCTAAATATGGTTCTTAACATAAGAATTATTGAAGTTTGTCACCTGTGACCTGACAGGTTAGCAATATGCAAAATGTTCGCAGGTACATGTTTAAATAATTTGTAAGATTATTATTATAATATTATAATATTATAATTCTCCATATAACTTACAACCACAAACTGGCTCTTCAGTACTATTTAAGACTGTATACTATCTTGGATTTCATGGTGATTTTTGTCTTTGGAAACGCAATATGCTTGCAATGGTTTCTCTTTTTTTAGTTAATCTGCCTGGATAAGTTCTCCAGGCCTTGTTTTTGTGCTGGAAAAACAAAGCTCATTTTAAACAAATGAATGTTGCAAAGAGATTCTTCAATCTATTAGCTAATTTGCTATCCTGTTTCATTTGAATAAGTACAGCTATCTAGCATTTGTTAAAGAGACAGCTGTTTTCTGGAGTAAAACCCCTAATTTGATCAGCTTAATTGCAATAGATTTTCTAAATATCAAGATTGAATGCAGCAACTTTGTCAGTTAGTACAAGAATGTTTTAAACCTAATCTAATAAAATTGCGCAAGGGAACCTTTTGTAAAGCCACTTACCCTGTAAGAGGCTTGCATACCCATTAGAAAAAAATTCCCTTAGACAGGAATAGATAGCAATTGATTGGGACTTCCTTGAAAATATGTGATCACTCCCCCTAATTTGTGATTTGGTGAAGTCATTGGGTAGTCTCCAAATGCTGTTTTGTCACTGGTCTCACTTGTCATTTGATCCTGGATTAGGCGGACACTTTTTCTTCTAGATCCTAATAAGCCTCATCAAGAAGTCAATATTGTGGCCAGTTTAGCCAAGAAAGTCTGTGTGCATCCTCTGTGTAATGACTGCCAGAGGTGAAACACACACGCGCGCGTGCACACACACACACACACACACACACACACACACACACATATATGTGTGTGTATGTGTGTGTTTCACCTCTGCAGAAAGAACCGTTGATACCAATTGTACCAATTGTAATGGTAGTCTTCTGCTTTTCTAACAGAGCTTCGACATGTCTGAAGTCAGCAGCAAGTTTCCCATAGACCCCATCACTGCAGTTGGAGTAGTGTCTTCACCCAGCAAGGCCCCTGATGGCTACTACGTTGTGAGTACAAACATCCCGAGTATAGGTTTTATATATAAAAGACTGACGTACACCATGAAATCACCAATTGCATTCTGAAGGTTCAGTGTTAGCATTTTGCCTGCCACCATGATGTAAACCATACATGGATGAAAGGGTGGATTGTTATCACCTTATGCTGGCAAGCCTGGTTATTAAGCTGTATCCATAGTTTTCAGATGTCCAGATATTCACTAATTAGTTCCAAGTAAAGAAGTCATTCACCAAAAACGGACTATTTTTATGGCTGTTCATATAATTAACATACACAAAACCAGTTAATAAAAATTATCCAAAAGGCGCCAACGATGAAAATACAGTAGATAGATCCAGTTCTGAGTCAAATTAGCAGAGGTGACACCTAGCCACTTTTGTCAGTGGTAACCCCATATAGTTATTATGATGGGTATAATTACTTACAGTAACTGTAACTGTTTTTTGTACCACACCCGTTAAGGTTCTGATGATTTTTACCCCATGAAAGGCTGATGGCGTCATTATCATGCTGGGTAGGTGGGTGGGTGGCCAGGTGAAGTGGACACCTAAATTTGTGAACATAATAACTCGAGAGCAAGGTGACTCATATTTCATATTTCATTACATCGACTCCAAGGTCAAAATATCCCATTTGTAATTTTTTTGAACTATAGGCACCTGCATGTGCGTTTGCTAAAACAGGCTGAGAGCAAGTCTGCACTTTATTTCATTTCTTTTAAAAATCACAGGTTCAGTAAAAAAGCACTTTTTTGTCCTGATGATGCATTTAACATTTTAAAGTGTTTTTGTGATAGGACCAGAATCCAAATTGTTAATCAGTGATTGTTGTCATAATTGGAGATCTAATAAGATTTATTTTGCTTTCTGTACTGAGTTGCACATGTAACAGTTGAAAATGATTGTGTAGCATAATGCACACCCAGGCTGTTGGCACCCTTTCAAGGTGTTTTTGTAAGATCTGCTAGATGACTTATTCATAAAGTTTACTTTGATGATTAGACGGATTGCCATCGTTGGTTGCCACCAGTGTTGTAGACACACCAGAGGCAAAGGTTAAATGATGTTAGGTTTATCCCCATATAATTTAACTTTGTCCTCATGTTTTCTTTATGTTCAAGTCTCACAGCATCTTCACCATTAACAGAAATGTGAAGTAGTGCAGGGTAGGCTGCTTAATTAGATTTTTTTTTGTAACTTAGTTTAAAGGGTAAAAAAAGAGAAGACAGTGCGCAAGTTTATCAAAGCACGAAACAAGCTCAAGGGCAGATCTCTCTTCCTCTTCCCTTCTTCCTATTCAAGCTTCTTTTGTTTTCATTAGGCCCCCAAAGCCTCCCTCTTCCCCCTGTTTTTATCTCTTCCTGCTCCACCCAACACACTCAGCTTGTTCCTATCGAGCAGATGACGGTGGGTTGGCATCAGAAAGGAGCCATCGGCACGGAAACTGCGTACACGCAACACAGTAACAAACAGAGGGAAATCAGATTTCATTCTCTACCAGTCCACTGCACCTTACGCTGTGTGTGCAAACACTGTGTATGTTCCAGAGGGTGGTAGACGAGAAGTGCAAAATTAAAAACGAATTTTTAAAATAAATATAAATCTGATTTCACTCTGTTTTTGCAGGAAATACTGTTACTGCATGAAAACATGCTAGTAGAACTAATTGACCAAACTTAGTAGGTTACTACTTTAGTTTCAAATGGTAATGTTAGCATCTGAGCTACTTTGGGCTGCTCCCTTGTCACAAAGGGTCACCATAGTGTGTAATTCTGCATGTTGGATTTGGCAGGCTTTTATACCAGATGCCTTTCGCTTACCAAGCAAATGTGTGAATCGCTACACTTGGAGCCATAGCTTAATGCTATTGATCTGTTGCAAGGGTATCATAATAAATAAATCTTAATCACAATGTGTATGCTCCAATCAGCCTCAGCTGCACTTTGCGTTGAAATGGTCAGCTGCCAGAATGAACTAAGATGGTGTTTAGCAACATGGCAGTTGCTAAATATGAGAAATTCGATATTGTTAATCTTAAATGCACTGTTGTAAGCTTGTTAGCATGCTGTTATTAGGATGTAGTTTATGTAAAGTATTGTGCCTGTGTACAGCCTTCCCAATGTGCCAGAGGTTGGCTGTCGACTCCTAGTTGTGTCAAGTTATCAGTGCTTAGCTGCAGGGATGTTGCTAGTAGATTATTTTAAACTACCTCATAGCTGCGCTTTGTGACCTGCGTTGGTCACTAAACTAGCTGTGGTTGGTTTTAAGCGTTAGTGTGTTGTTAGTGGATCACCCACAAACTTTGGCTGCCTAATAAATCTGATGACTTTCTCTATTTGAGATGGTAGCTTCTGATAGAGTAAGATACTTGTTTGTAGAAAAGAAGGACTGCAGTACAACCTTTAAGAGGGTTTTATTGTCAAATTTTTAAGTCAATTTTAAAAAGTTATGATTCAAGATTAGACCATAAAGAATAAAAAGTTAAGTGCAAGTCATCCTCCAAGATAAGATTCAAGGTCTTTCAGGCTCATAGGATCTATTTCAAATGCGTTTGTCCCATCTTCAAGAATATCTTTTCGAACATCACTATGTGGTCTTTCATCTGCAGACTTGAAATACAAACAAAAATATCTGCAGTTGGTATCAGTGTACTAATGCACCACTGAGGAGGGAAAGTCTCAGGATATTAGCTGTATTGATTTTTTTTTCTCCTTTCATATAAGAAATCTTTTCAAATACCTCCTTAATACGGACTGTTCACCATGCTTTCCATATACTTTATAAAGCAGATCAAAGAGCTGATTAACTCTTTTGCTCTCTGATACCGTACACTCACATCTCTGAACTTGAGCAGGTTGTTCCAACACGAGAGAGCGCAGGCCCAGATCAAACACTGTTCCACTGGGATCAGGAGCTTTGCTAAAGCACCAGCAGCCACCTAACATCAAACGCACTGAGTAGACTCTTGCTCACTCATGCTCTGTTCATGGGTTGCAAAGGAGCTATGGCAGCTAGCTTCTTCCGCTCTGCTTTCAGCTAAACTAATTGCTCGCACGCTTTAGCACCCACTTTAACACACACGCTGAATCTCAACAAGAAAGTCAAGTAGATTTCAAAGTGACTTTAGTTCTTTAAAGTACACATATTATGCTTTTTGGGTTTACCTCTTTTTCTGTCATAAACTATTTTTGTGCTTGTCAAACACCTGCAAAGTTCAAAGGTCATCCAGAAAAGTTATTCTCTGTCCAAAATGTCTTGTTAGGAAAACAGGGTTTCTTGCATGGCTTGTCTACATCCCTGCACATTTGCATAATGGCCACCTAGTGGCTAGTTGAACACAGCCTCAAGCAAACAATATGCAGCTGCCCCACATCATTATTATGTACTTGTTAATGCTCCTCCTCTCTCTGTAAATTATTTCAACCATGAACAAAACATTTAGGCATTGTAAGAAAGAGTGAATACGTCTTATCCATCCTCTTATCCTTATCAAGGTGATGGGGGGCTGGAGCCTATCCCAGCTGTCACAGGGCGACTCTATTGCAGGGCTAACACTTAGAGACAGACAACCATTCACACTCACATTCACACCTATGGGCAATTTTAGAATAATCAATTAACCTAACCCCACTAACTGCATGTCTTTGGATTGTGGGAGGAAGCTGGAGTACCCAGAGA